TTCCGAAAAAGTGGTTGTTGAACATGAGTTTTCACTTTGATTAGTGAATAAGCGAAATAATTATTGGTTGGTTTTGTTGCTGTCTGCAGAAAAAACGAAACGTTATTTCCACATTGTTCGTCCTTTTCACTTCAAACAGATCATCATTAACATCCATATCCGAAAGACTTAAAGCATGACGTTTTCAGTCGCCTTTCACTTCATTCATTCCTCTACGTTCCTCAATTTCCGTATATCATTTTTGTGTGGATGTATTCCAAACTTTGCATTTTCTCAATCTGCTGCTGATATATTCTCATTTCTTTTTTCATTCGTTCCATAATTATTTGAGTTGAAAGAAAGGTGTTAAGATGTACCTACCGTGTGTTAGGCAGAACTGGTCTGTGTGCGTGGGATTTCAAAATGAACCGAAAAAAAATAATTCTTATATTAACATTTCTCCAAGCAATTATAGCTGAAAGCGTCTTGTTCACCTGCTCCATCTACTGAAGTGTCACAATGGCTAAATGTTTATATTTAACTCCTCAAGGCACACAAGTGATGTAGCCGAACCAATGATCAACGTAGTTGTTTTCCGATTTAAAAACAGATGGATATATTAATTTGAAATGAATAATAAGTTTGACATGAATGGGTATTATTTGTGTGTTTTCATCTGTTCACTCACGTTGTTATTCGTGAAGGAGTGATGTCATGAAACGAATCAGATACATCTAGGTGAATCATACAGCTGAATGAATGCAGTTGTTTCTATGAATAGTTGAGTGTTACTCACTACCTTGCGATTACTACCACAGGTATTGCTTACTGATGCCAATTTATCAGCAAATTCACACGTTTTACGTGACTTTTATCACGTATTTTAACTGATTAGTTCTGCTGCTGTCTATTCGTACAGTGAGATATACGACTAAACGGTTGCTTTTATCAGGACAATTTGAAGTATTCTGTTGAAATGTAATTATGCGTTTTTTTCCTGGAGTCACTCTCTTATTCGACTGCTTGATCCATAGTGTCTTACTCATATCACACAGAAAGTGTGATCTGTGAATCACGTTGAATTGAGATTCCCAGATATTTCCATTCCATTTTATCTTTCTTTTAAAACTGTCTGATTAGTTGTGAATGCATATTCATGACAGCAAATTGTTTGCAAAATCGCGCGTTCGCTGCATTCATCTCTTTATGTCATTCGAAGATATTAGTGACGGTAATTGAACGAAATCTAGGTTCGGTCTGGAACCGATCGAATAATTTCGAAATTCTTTCAGTACTCTCCTTGGCAGATATAGTTAAGAAATAACTCTAACTCTAATTCAGCCATATTCAATTCATTTTGCAAATCAACTCCCAGAAAAGTTGACATAACATCACTTGAAACGGTGGAATGCATTAAAATAACACCTATTCACTTATGATTCTGGAGTTAGACTCCAATGATTACCGGGTGTTACAGTAAGACACGATCAGAAAATCATAAATTCTTATTGAAATAAGTTGAAAGATAAAAAACTTATCGGATTGATTCAACTTTCAACAACAACACGTTTCTCTTTGCAAACAAGGGAGGATAACATTAATGTCTTTGCATCGTAACAATTATGAAGTGAGAGCTTCGTTTGGAGAACAGTATTTATGTACAAGAAAGGCTTTTTAAACTGAATTTAATCGTGCTTTCAGCTTGTCAGAAGATAATACAACAACGGCTGAGGTTATTGGGTGGTGTCGTCGGCAGTACTCGAACACCCACTCCCACGGCTGCAACGCATACGAACGGCGCTACTGACCATCGAAATATCAACTATCAGGTACTTCCTTAAAAGTTTCTATCTCAGCAGCCAATATCCCGTATCTTTATGCTAAGCTGACTCGATGGAAGGAAACAATGCTGAATCTTCATGCAAACATTTTAAACCAATACATGTCTGGTCATCTTAAATGAAAATTATCTTGTCGTAGTGTCTGATGGCGACTAATTACTATTGCCTCATGCGCAGATGAGTATGAATGCAATCGTTGTGATGATGTGTCATAAATGGCTTGAATTAGAGCGTATGAGATTCTTATTCGATTCATACAGTGATCGATAATTTTGGCTAATTTTATGGATTTGTGTGTGAAATTTTTCATTTTCGTTTGAATGTATGAAACGAATTGAATAGAATAAATAGTGCATACGTTTTATAGAAATTATTATTGCGGCCATGTTTGTTGTACATGTGATGCGTGAGCTCTTTTCATAGAANTGAAGTTGTTTTCAGATAGAAAAATTTGTTTATTTTGTTGAATTGATTGCAAATCGCATTAGTCATTCCATCTGTCATTCCATTCACATCTATCCAACCAACAACATCTAACATTCAGGAACCGTCATATGCTACGAAAACCGCTGCCTATCATCATCAGCGTTCCGTATCTGCGCTACCTCTTCAAGACCACTCTCAAAACTTCTCGAGGCGGATCGCCTCCCAATCACAGCATACATATCAACAGCCCTCTCCAAGTCCTGCCCTAAAAGGACACGTCTATCATCGTGAAAATTCAAATCTCACTGCAGGTTTGTTTACTTTGCTTAATTTTCATTCCACTATTGAAGATTATTCTGTCATTGATAAGCGAACGATGCCGTGCAATCAATTGCAACAAATGCAGCCATTCAAGGTGAAGCTGAATAATATGATACTATACTCGATAGCAACAAATTAAATCCAAATAGATTCACTCAATTTTGTCTGTTCTTGGTATTGCCGTTTTATTCAGTGCCTTATATTTGCTTAAAGTACGTCAACGTTGTTTGATAAGGGTGTCGTCAATATCACTCCACGAAATTACAGTAGTTAATGATTATCGGTCCCATAAATTATCTTCATTCGTTAAGCTGGTCGTATTTCTCTGTGGCTGCTTAACGATCGATCGAAATTGCATTGATCGATAATTTCCGGTGCTTATCAGTGGTGCAGTTTCTTATCAGAGTGCACAATTTTAGCAGCTCGAAGCAGCGATCGATCTCTGTCCGCGTTTGCAATGCCATCAGCTCCAGCATTGCATGCACACAAAGTTCAACGAGCATCACAATACGAATGTAATGCGGCCATTTCACCTGCGCACAGTGCAAACAGTGTCACTTCATCGACTGGTTACTTTTTATTCATTCATTTATTTACTTATTTATCCACTCGTTTACTTTTCATTTATTTTCTCGTGTGCACGTGCGATATTATCATCGTCATATGTACAGTTCATTGCCTGGTATTGATTGATCGAAATCGCTTGATTCGAGCGTTCAATTGGATCATTTCATTTTGAGAAAGACTCTAAAATTCTTCGCATCTTCGAAACTTGAACGTGGAAATGAGGCATGAGGAAACTAACTTGCTGACGAATTAAATTAAATGAGAATTTCATTCATTCTGATTTTGAAGTATTACGATGATGCGTGAATAATGTATTGAAGAAATGTTAGTGAACAGTGAACGGAATGAATGGATCATTAAAAGTTTAGGTGGTTCTTTACTGCAACATCCCGCGTCACGTCTGTCATCGTCGAATGTGCACGCATCACAGCTAGATCAAGCCGCATATGTTCGCGATGAGATTTTCGACAATCACATCCCTGCACAGCCTGCCTCGTTGCAACCGACCACTTCATCCAGTCATCTTCCTACACCGTCATCAACACCGACAACTCAGCGCCGAAATCGTCGTATCTCGAATCTTTTTGTTCGTTTTTCTATTCATTCAACTCTTTTTTCATGATGATGAATAACTCTGTGTGGAAATTCAGTTTAGGATCGATTGATAACTCTTACAAATGGCAATGCTGATAGGCATTTAATCAAAAGCTCATGTTTATCATTTTGAAGATGTTGTGATTTATTGTGTAAAAACTTTAAAAAATCATGGATATTTTTGTTGAATTCATTTTTTTCAATATTTTGAAGAAATTTACGCTTTGTATCTGAAATAAATTCTTTTCAGCAACGACCAAAAGATCATAATCATGACGAGAAATCGCATAAAACTGCTATTGATCTCAATATGGGTATGGGACGTACGATCCCGGTTAAACAGGGTCATCTCTATAAGCGAAGTAGTAAAACACTGAATAAGGAATGGAAGAAGAAATACGTTTGCTTGCATTCCGATGGACGATTATCGTATCATCAAACGCTTAAGGTACACTTCTTTTCGATCATTTAATGTAGTTTTTCAACAGGTCGTTTTCATTTCTTTATTTGTTTTTTCAAAACATTGCTCAGCAGTAATGTTTTGACGAGTGGAATTTTCAATTCTATGAAATTTCATTTCGATAAAAATTTCAATTCATCCAACTTCAGGATTATATGGAGAAAGATACGAATGGCAAAGAGGTGTTTTTGGGACTGGCCACAGTGCGAGTGGCTGGTCGACAACGACCGCGTGCTACTCAACGTGCACAAACGCAGCCAATTACTGTACCTCGAGATATCATGCAGTCGTCATCAAAAGAGAGTGCAAATGCCACCAAGCGAGAATCCCTCGATCCCATAAGTACACGACGAACAAACGCACTTGTCACTGCATATGAATTTCTTGGTCAAGACACAGCCAGCAGTAGGGGTACTTCTGCTGGTCAAACCACACCTGGTGAAGGTATGCTATTAGCATCATGTATACCGTTGTAGAATTTCCTTAAAAACATTTTGTTTCAGAGCATCGGAAAGAAACTGTTTAATTTTAGCTGAAAGTCTAATCGAATGTTTTCATTGTAAGATTCTCGCGAAAGGAAATTTCATTGTGTGTTCTTCATGCAATACTGTTTCGAAAAATAGCTAAAGTTATGTAGATGTAAATTCAGGAACGTCTGGAGGTAGTGATGATCAGCAGATGTCATTAGGAGTTCAGCCGTCACAACAGCAATATCAGCTGGCCAGTAGCACAAGTAGCTCGATGGTGACAAGCGCCACACCAGCACTCACGTCCAATAGTGCAGTGAAGAAGAAGAAGAGTCATCGTCGGCTTGGGTCTGGTGTTAAGAATCATGAAGAAGGTTTGTTTTCATTTCAAACTCGGCAGAAGCAGTTCAGTCCCATAGCATTTACAAATTTCCACGAAAACTTCAACCCATTAGTCTGATTGTTTTCGTTGTTTCCGCTACTTTTTTGTTGTCAGCAGTTGCATTGCTGTCAAAATCGGACTACGTGAAAATAAAGGAGCAAATTTTGA